AACTTGTTCCATTTATACAAATTCCTAAAGACAGAGTAAGAATAAAGTTGAAATTGATTTTAATGGGGATCACCTTTTATCACGCACACTAGTGTTAAACACGTCGCGCCTTTTATTTTACAAGTTTTAATTAATCATATATTATAACAAACACTGAACAAAACAGAAAAATTCAAATAAATATCAATGTAATGTTAAGTCTGAAAAAACTTATTTATTTGTTTCCCCACTTATTGAAGTAATCATAAAATAATAATAATAATGTGCTAATAAAAGGGCGCCCCCGCCACCGTGCACACCGCGTGCCGCGCTATGAACAAATCCAATTTTTAATAAACTCACTCTCTCTCTTTGCTCGACATGGAACACCATGCTTGCTGAAAATACGAGACATTCATACTATAATTGTCTATGATACTTGAAAAATGAAAATACAGTGGGATTAGATCCTCAATTACAGTTGATTAGTTCAGAGCAAATGAGTGTTTTAAATGTTTGAATTATAGTAGGTAGGTACTTAATTAAATACTTACGTAAGTAGGTACCTTAAAATATCTCATTTTAGGTTTAGTAGGTACTTATAAGTAAAAGTAAACATACAACAAGCAAGCACAGCAAAAAGATAAACAAAGCGGGGTGCAGTGAAAATCACTTCACACTGTTAAAAAGGTGTCCAGCCCATCAAACAGCTTCACACAGTTCGTAACACATTTTCAACACATTTCAATCATTATTGTAGACTGTCCCTGAGGCTGTAAACACTCGGACACCCTGATTTCCCCCAACGAAAGCGAAGAGAAGAGACACTGTTGATATTACTAGTGGATTATTCGCATCGCAGCGCGCGCCATCCTTTTGCCATAGACAACTATTTTTTGCGTCCTCCCCGCAGTCTCGAAGCAAAAACAATGACTATTCAGCCTCTGCCCTCGGAGGTCATAGAGTTCATTACTGAGAAGGCTGTATGGGGGTTGATGAATGAAGATGTATCGTCTTGGAAATAAAAGGAGTAAGGTACTCGGTACTCCTGTAAATAAGTAATTATGGTAGTTAAGAGGCCAAGTGACTAACTAATAAGTACCTACCACTAACATATTATACGGCCTGAAAAATTGATGTGGGACTAGCAAAAAGTGATTGGACAACCTAAACAATTACACACTGCTTTAAAAATAGTGTCGCCATGTTATTATATCTACTTCCCTAAAATGTTAAAGATTATCTACGAAATAAAGAGCAAATAGTTGGAATTTCCTCGTCACAGCCTGACGACTCTGTATGACTACAGAGCGCAGAAGTAAGAAGTCATGGATCGTTTCCGTAACATTCCACGACTGACTCTGCCGAGGTAGTTTCTTAAAAACAATCCGAGAAATGTGTTATTACATCATCCCTGTTTGGTGACGAGGCGCGAGCGCGTGTCACAGCGAACTGAAGTGAAATAAAATTCCTGCAGCAGCCACAAGACAAGACGACAGCCGACCCGAGGCGTTGGCTGGCGCAGTGTCGATGCAGTTATGTATCGGTAAAATTATGAGGTTATAAAATAAAATAACTATCCTATACAGGTACATACCATTTAAGACCATCAGGAAACTGTTAATGTTAATAGTCTTAAAGTTTAGTACCATATGGTTAATTGGTTACCATATTATGATATTATTATCATAATAAAGAAATTGAGTAGGTACCTAACTAATAATAAAATTATGAACATGACTGATTATTAGCGTTAAACTTAATGAAGATAGATTGGACCTACATTCTCAAGAATTCAAAATGCAGGCCTTGCAGGGCTTCTTCCAGCTTAAAATTCTATCTGAGGACACAAAGCGGCACAAAGTGATGATGTCTTCGACTTAGGCACTTTTATTATGGGTACAGCTACATCTGTTGATGTAGGGAAGTAGGTACCTAACAGAAAAAATAAGTTAAAATTATTATTTATTATAACCCTTATCGATATTTTTGCATCATCACTAGTGCAGTCGCACATCGACATTAATCTCAGCGCGCAAAATGCATATGTTTTTACTTTTTATTTTCGAGAAATGTTCACGTCCCTAAAACGCTGCCACGAGACATATTTTAACGAATTTTTTAACTTACAACGAGATTCTGGCTCCAAGTAATTACGAGATAACGCAACAAATGGTGCACTGAAACGTTTTAAACGTACGGTATTTGCATATTCTGAGTTAAAATACAACTGTGTTATATTTATTTACTTAAGTACCTACTTACTTAACTGGTCCTCGGTGCAATCTGGGGACCGCAAAAGGGTTAAGGGTCATTCCGATTTCGAATTAAATAAATAGTTACGCAACATTATTCTAGTACTCCACTCTACAATTAAAATATCTTGCATTTTGTGTTTAACATTGATTCGAAAGATTAATTTACTTACTTACTTCTTACTCCTTTGGGAAATGCCAAATGTAATTTATTCATATAAAATCAGTTCATGAAAAAAAAGATCTGATGAAACACCAACCGATTTACACACAAGGGATGCCAATGCCGATCATGCAACACTGCCTCCGAAGGGAATCAATCAAACCACCTTTTTGAGAGCATCGTCCTGATCAAAGTTCATTATTGTGTAGTTTTAGTAACGTATATTAAAATTTATAACAAAAATTCAAACACCTTAGAAATACGATGTCGTTATTTATACTCAAGTATTTTCTTAACCATTTCCAGTATCGCCAACGAGAGCCCAAATTACCCCCTATTACTGTCTTCCACCCAGTCTAAATTTGCATAGATTTACTTAATCTGAGTCATTGTTATCTCCGGTTTAACAATGGACGAGTAATTTAATTGTTATTATTATCGCAACCTTTACTGCCATTTTTAATTGTCCGCTTTCATTTTAGGCCAGTTGTAACGTCAAGTGTCGGGGAATTGCTCGAGATCCCTTTTTAGATGAAGCTACTGTAATGGACGCTTGTTTCTGATTAATTGTTATCAATTAATAAAACAGGATTGTTTTAGAATTTTAATATTGGTACAACTTAACTAACCATCATCACAGTATTTGCAGTTCTCTCATCAAGCCAGAGAATTAGAATTTGGAAAAGTACCAAGTTTGAAAGTCCCATGAATGCCAAAGTAAACCTTCTTCAATCACTGCAAGTGCCTATCTTATTTGCATTAGGAACAAAAGGGGAGTTCCTAAGTTAGTCTAGTTTTTATTCGAAATCCTCGTAGTCGCGATAACGAGTTGGCACCGCGCTTAATGTGTCAGTGTAGTGGGCCAGCACTGCCAACGGATAACTCCTGTTAGTTATGCCCTGCACTTGGCTCGAACCTGCGCTGCGTTACATCCCCCGCTTACGTAAGCCATGCTTTCAAATTGCACATTAAGCTGGATGCTATTTAGTCGCTCTTTTTAAACTTAAGTAGGTCAACGGCGGTTGTAAACGAATGAATCGTGAATCAACTTGGTCGTAAGACACATAAGTTTTAAATAAAAGTCCCGAGTGAACAGGTTGCTCATAGGTAGGCGTGCTCCATCGTCGGCCACATCATCGCTTACCATCAGGCGAGATAGTGGTCAAACGTCGACCTATAAAGTATAAAAAAAATATGTTTTGGGAACCATTACACGCTGGGCACTGTGTGCGGTGGTGGGTGTGTGAAACAAATAAAAGTCATTATTTATTAATAACTTTGTATAATTACTATTATTGTACAATAATCATGGCATACTTCACACATCACACACGTGGTCGACATAAACTAACTTAACACAAACCGAGGCAGCCTCCTACTACATTTTAGACACACACACGGGTACTTTGGAAAGGGTACAACATGTAAGAGAGGCAAAGAGAAAAGAGGGAATCCCCAATAGGGATTCTATATTGGAGATTGATTTAACAGTACCACTTCAGCCCAAATCTGTATTTATTCATCAACCCATTACCCTTTAACCGCCGACAACGTAATATTACGGTTTTCGAAAGCTGTGTCCGAATCGCCACCACGTACAATCACGTTATTTTATTAAAAATCTTCTTATAGTGCACAAACTCCATATAAAATGTGTCAATTTCAAGATGTAGGGTATAATCTTTATTGTTATGGATATTTCTCAATGTTTTGAGTGATAAATACTGTGAAATTTGAGGTTTAATTAAATTGTGGTCACCGTCTCCATTATCTGTATCGCCAATCACGTAATTTTACGAGTACTAGGGATGGGGCGAATTCGAAAAATACTTAATAGGTTGTCTAAGAACAAACAAGGCACTATAGATATTACTGTCACTATTTGCAATGAAAGTGTATACTTTCATTAGAAAATAACCATAGTGTTACTTTGATGCAAGTATTTGTACTAATTAAAATGTATTTAAGTTTAAAATTATTTAATATTTATAACAATAATATAAAAATTTCATAACGCAGAACCGCACTAGTGCGGACAATCGCCGGTCGCCATCATCGTAATATTACGTGCGGCCAAGGAGATTATAGCGCTGTATTGTGAGTTGCCTTAGCGCCGTCACCGTAAAATCACGTTAAACATTTATCACTCAATGCAACTAGTGTTGTAAGCCCTTTTTTGGGTTTTTGTTATTTCTCAAATAAATCAACACAGTCAAAACCAAATGTGTCCATTATGCAAAGTTAGAAGATGGTGACGCAAAAGTTTTTGATCAGAGACCAAGTGATCCACGAAATGAATACTTTGCATCTTTAAAACCTTTTGAGCTGGAAACTGTACTGTCTGAAATCCGCTCAGAAGTTTACATGAAATTATTAAATTTAATACGACATGCTCGTGGAGCATCGTCACCGTCGCCAGCAGGAGAACGGACGACGCCGTGCCCATTTCCCGAATAGGTACACATTTTCGTATACTTCGTTTGAAGATTGAAAATTTTTAGATTATTTATTAAGTAGGTAAATAAAACATCGATTTTAATTTTTTAATTAATAAAGAATATATGTACCGATATTAAGTGTTCCCAACACTGTTCCAACTTATACCTAAAGTGACGTGGCGCTGGAGGTAAGTTGAAAGTTCAGAATCTTGGCGGTTAAAGGGTTAACTTAAAATAAATCCAACCATAGAATTTATCACATCCACAAATATAATCTATTTCTCAGACTACTGAAATGTTGATTTAAATTCAAAAGGCACTTGCTCAGAGACTACCTCACCAATAAAAAATAAAAACAATTAAATCTACACAAACTGGATCAAATTAATTAAAATCACAATATTCCTCGTTCATACTAACATTCTCTAAAATGTGCCATTACTGAACATGATCATTTTCAACATATTCCACTAAATAAGATACAAGTTTTATTACAACGAAAGTTAGATATTTGAAATCTTGAGATTTCTAAGAAGAAAGGTCCCTGTTTTGTCGTTGGAACCTCTATAATAAGCTAAAATACAAATATTATAAAAATATAGATTTTGGCCTCTGTATGAGCTTCACCTGCGTCTAACAATATGCTAATCAACGGGTATTTTATTTACTACTAGTACTAGTTACTATTATAATTCCTATAATAATGCTATCACCGGCGTATTTTGTTGCGCATTGTGTGCACTCTTACACTCAAGTAGAAACACCACTTGATGTACAAAGTGAGTTTTAGAATTCATTTTCGATAGTGATTAGTGAAAATTTGAATGGCAATTTCACTTTAAAAGGTGATAAGTCATGTTTCATCAAATATTCGACGTTATGAACATACTCTGTTCACGCAACTTCTAGGGAATAAAGGTCTCAACGTGATAAAGTCAATAATTGCATACATTATTAAAGTAGTTTTATGGTTACAATAACATGACCACGATTGAAAGTCCTGGTCCTTGTCTACTGACATCAGTTCTGCACTTGCACCCCACTCTTACGTCTTCTGGTCGATCGCTTCGGTTTCTCTTCGACCGTGTTATCCTCAGACTCGTGGAGCACCTTCTTGCGCGACGACCTCCGTGGAGTAATGACATCCTCATCGACAGTAGTGTTCATACTCTTGCGTCGACTCCTCGTCACCACAGGACTCCTGTCTTCAGCGTCCTGCCTCACCAGCTTGGATTTCCTTCTAGAATTTTCTTTATTCTCAACCTTCTCCAAGTCCATAAATGAAACACCATTGTCCATTTGTAATTCTTGAGGTTTGTCTTCATTTATTTCGCTGTCTGGCGTGCGATAGGACACGTCCTGTATGTCGGTGTCGGAGCGGTTGAACAGCACCATTTTGATGGACTTCCTAGTGGACTTGTTGTTTGTGTTGGTGTTGGCACCTTTGAGTATACTGCGGCCCGGAGTCGCGTACAGATTGATCGGAGTTAACGGAGTTGGAGTTTGCTGCGAGGATTGAGAAATACGTTAAATATACATGATATCTATTGTAATAGTAATGTATGCAGATGTTAAATTAGTAACAAATAATTTAACATGTAACATGTAATACTTACCGGCAGTAACGCGATTCCTTCACACTCCACGTTCTTGCCAAATACTGAAGCGCGCAACATCGCAAAAGAGGCGGAATTCTGAAACGGAAGATGAATTTATGTGAAGTATATATCTTTATCTTCTTCGTTTGACTGCCTATAAATAAATCCACCTGATGCAGGATAAATATTAACTGTTTGACAATGATACATCATGAAATTAAACCCTACCATGCTAGTTTGACATAACCATACCTTGCTAGCAGAGGCCTTCTTAGCTTCACTGGAGAGCACAGCTTTAAGCAAGCTGTTCTTACTGGCAGGAGTGCGCGGTGCAGGCGAGTGGGAGGTCCGTGCTGGGGATCGAACTGGTGACCGCACGCTGAAGAAGCCTGCCTCGAATGTCTTGCTGTCCTCTGCAGGCGGTTGCAATGTTACAGGAACAACTTCCTCTTGCTCCTTCTTGGCCTTTCTTGCAGCTACAAAAATTTTGGTAAGTATTTACATAAAGACTATTAAAGAAAAACTGTTCTGCCTGTTACAAATGATGATGTTGCCAAATCGAGAATTACTAGAACTTTTGTAATGATATTCATTTTATTAATGTCCCTCTTTGATGAGATTATAGAAACATGCAAGAATTGTAGAATAGCAGTGTACATTTAAGTAATGATTGTATGTTAACAACAGATTCTATATCTTACCAGCAATCATCTCCCTCAATCTGCTGGGGCCACCAGTGGGCTTCACTGCTTTCTTCACAATTGCGTTAGATCGAACCACCTTCTTCTTCACCTCAACAGGTTGGTCCTCCACCCAGCCGCGGTGGCGCAACTCCTCTAACTTCTTGAACCTCATGTCAACATTCTCAACCTGCAAATAATTAATTAAAACTGATGAAAAAGAAAACTGAAGTTTCAAATGAGGCTTTGCTATTTTTGACTTCTGGTATCCTATGCAACCAAGTCGTAAATATGTGTTATAATAACGCTTGTCACATACCATGCACACATCAGAAAATACAGAGGACAGCGAAAAAATACTAATGGCGATTTGATCACTTTAATGTGATGGTCACAAAGCATCTGTTACCTTAATTACCTATCTATGTGAAAGTGTTTACAAAAGAAATTTTAAGTGTTCCTTTTAAAGATGAAGTTACTGGTTTACCTGCATAAACACCATGTCCCAGAAGCCGTGTAGGTCTGCGGGAGTGATGAGCGCGGTGCCGGGCTCGGGGCGCGCGCAGCGCTCCACCAGTGACGCGAACTGCTGCAGCTTCTGCGACATCAACAGACGCGCCTGGCCCACTGCCGACAGCACTGCCTCCTGCAATGATCATAATAATCCAGTGTTTAACTTGCGCATTTAATATTTGCAACAACTTATACACACTTACTAATTAACTCGTCGAGTACCGTCATTATAGACACAATTATAGAACAATAGGTTGCGGTCACCAGTGACCGCTTGGTGTTTGACAGTTTAATGTGAAAAGACAATAAAAATCCTACCAATCCAATTCATTTTATATTCTGTAAAGCCGCTGACTGCAGTTAGAAAGTTATGATAGGTAATTAAATAACTAATATACCTGAATAGACTCTGGTAACACAGTCTGCTCTGAAATCTTGTCCCAAGTGTCACACATCTCAGTCATACGCTTGATTTCAGAGGCCAGCTGGCGCCGGAAATGGTCCACACTCTCCATGTGGCTGGCATCTTCGTCCAGAAGCCCTGTAAAGCATAAAGCATATTAAAATAAAATATATTATTATTATAGCGATGGCTTTAATGTACTGTCTATAATGGTATGTTTATATGTGTGGGCTTTTTCAAATAATAGTGGTTATAAAATTTTCATCTCTAATTTTAAGTAAACAGTACATACCTTCATCCAGCTTCTTCTTCATCTCCTTCCTCGCGTTATCCTTGCCCCGAGACATGGTGACACAAGGACTAATGTGTTTAGCCTCCTCTGCTATCTGCTCCGGAGTCATTTGAATATCTTCCAAGGACTTCGGAGATCGCAGCCGTTCTTCAGAACTAGACTCACTCCTCGGTACAGGTTTATTTGGTGTGACATTTGGTGTAGACTTCCGAGAAGGTTTGGTAACTACTAGGGGAGAACTTGGTGCTGGTAAAGACTTTCTCAATACTTTACTGGTCAGGATTGGAGAAAATTCCTGATTTGAATCTGATTCATTTGTTGATGAAGTGCTCTGTTGCTGAACAGCTACTGATACCTTATTTGTTTTACCAATTGGATTACCCACTTTCCCTTTGGTGGTTCTCTCAGTTGGCTTGCGCACAGGTTTCACCTCGACTGCAGTCTGTTTCACAGTTTTAGATCGAGTCTGTTTGGTGGACTCCTTTTGACTGTTAGGTGGCAAAGGGTCAAATGTTATATTATGTTTCTTGTCTTTTTTAGCCTTTGGAGCAAGTAACTTTGGCAATTTTGTCAAATTTTTTATTTCTGGTGGTTTAAATGCTGCATTTTTTGGTGCAAATGATTGTGATGCAGCCTTCAGCTCCTTAATTTCTTTTGGTTTAACGCTATTTCTGGCTGACTGTGACCGTGTCACCCTGCCAGATGTACTTGGCATTGGTTTTGGAGGAGGAGGTGGTGGCACGAACTTGAGTGGTGCATGCGGCACTCCGGCTACAAATGGTTTCTTCTTTTGTGAAGCAGCCTCTCTTTTCTTTTTCTCCTTTTCCTCCTTCCATTTCTCCAGCTGTTGCCTCCTGTGTTCCACCTTGGATTGCACATTGGACACTGGGGCTGGACTCTCACATTTGGACAAGTTCCTCAAGTTATCAAACACTGTCAGACGGCTGCTCTTTCTATATTTCAAGTTGTTTTCCAGCCGCTTCTGGACCTGCAACACAAGTTTATTCTGATTACTTGGATGAAAGTATTGTCTCATAAACCTAAAACGGTGCATTCATAAAGTATACTTTGCTTCAAATGCCACATAATGATTAATGTATTTGGAACATAAACACCTGCAATACACTTTTGTAGACGTTCCCAACAGAATGATAATGGAAATGAAAACAAGATTACTATCAATGATAATATACATGCTAATATGAACCAGCAGAATGTAACATACATGCCATTACAATAGCATTACGAGCAAACTACAGCTATATGAATGCACCTCATTATACCTACATTACGGGAGGACTCTACCCCATGCATCATGATAACAACAATTTTGTGAGTTTATATATATTCTAGACACACACCCCACCAGCTACGCTGCCGAACTGTGATGGTTTACTCTTGTGTTTCTTCTCATGATTCTTCAGCAGCCTCCCAAAGTCGAAGCTCTTCTCTGTAATTAGTTACAATTATCGTTTCATAGCGTTCGAGCTTAACACAGCTAAGTATTCCAATATTTCAAATTCAACTACAATTTATAAACTTTAGTATTATGTAATAGCGATAACTAAATCGATCATCAATTAAATTGTAATGTACAAACAAAAATATATTATCTTACCCATAATACCTGAAAAAAACTAAAAACTGAAATTAATTTCAAATAAAATAACTGTCAACAATCTCAAACATAGTCATAGACTATTAGGGACGTAGGTAATAGATATATGACACTTGAAAGTCTAGAGTAGTGCAATAGCGTCCATTTCAAAGACCGATACTGTAAGGTCCACATCCATCGCATCGCATTGATGTAAAAATGGGTAGTTTAAAAAACATAAAGAATAAGAATTTACGTTAAAAAATGAATATTTTAATTACTGAAACTTAATAGTTTCAACTTGAAATTAATATTTCACACTATCAGATACTATTTAAAATAATCCAGACAAATTTGTAGTTTGTTAACCCAACCAAACCAAAATATAAAATTAAAAAATAGTAAATTCGAATATTTTTGATCAAATTATTTTGGTGGGTGTAGTCTTAAACCTGGATGATTTAGATGCGTTTTAGGTACGAGTTAATGATTTAATTTTTATTTTAACCAACCCTTATTATTGATAATATTACATAACGTATCTTATTTTCTTAATATCTGACAGTGCAACATTCGGGAAACAAAATCTAAATAAATAAAGGGCAACACCGTTTCCGACTTCCGGCTGTCAGCTGATAGATTCCCTATTGCTTTCCAAAACCTATTTCGATTTTCGCAAAGAAAGAATACGTCAGGCACCATTCAACATGGGCTTGAAATACGCGATCAAAAGCTAGTTATAGCTGAAATATTGCTCTAATTGTAGCGTTATTGTTATTATAGTTTCATTTTACATGTACGTTGTGTAACTTTATTAGTAGAAAATGGATACGTTCAACATAGGATACTTCGGTTATGGCGTTTGTTGATCATTAAAAAATTACGTTCGGTTCATAGTTTTTCTTTATATTTGATGTCAGCTTTTCGTTTGTGATCGTCTGTTTAGTTCGTGTTTACGTGTTTAATGTAAAAATGGTGAAGGAGAAGCCTAACTCGATTCGGATTTACGACGACGAGGGATTTAGACGTCGCGCGGCGTGTATCTGCGTTCGTTCTGACGCCGAAACAGAGGTTAGCGTTGTATTTCTGTTGTTGCGGTGTAATATAAGATATGGCGAAGTTATAAAGTTGGTGTGTTTGCTGTTGTGTCGTGTAGGTGCTCCTGGTGACATCGTCGCGACGTCCTGACAACTGGATAGTACCCGGTGGCGGCGTCGAGCCCGAAGAAGAGCCCTCAGTGACCGCTATGCGCGAGGTGCTCGAAGAAGCCGGAGTCATCGGCAAGCTGGGTAGATGCCTCGGGGTTTTCGAGGTGAGCCCATTGTTTTCACGCGTATGCCTTATTTACTAGACGTTATTTTGTATCAGAGGCTGTCGAAACTAAATTTCCTGATAATTACTTTCTTAGAATCAATTCTGTGTCTGTAGAGAGCAGAAAAATAATCAGTTGTAATGATATGACATAGAAACATATGGCAATCAAATGAAAGGTCAATTTCCCAGTTCATCATGTGTTATCAAGTGACAGGATCTATCTAAACATATGGAGTGACATCTGACTGATACCATGGTTATTTCACTTCTGAAACAAATCATTGAACATGTAATTGTGCATTTAGTTCATAGATTTGTTTTTAAAGTGAATAAAATTGAACTAACAGTAGTTTTTAATACTGACGGGGATGTAGTAAAGTCAATAAAATATTATCACATAATACTCCTATGCAAATAATCATTAGTTAATAATTAATTATAGGGTGGAGTTAATAGGCATCAAATTATTGAAAATACTAATTCTATTCTATATAAGAAGTACTAAAGATATTACTGTTTAATTATCATCAAAATGTATGCACTTCGTTAATAAACCATATATAAAAAAGCAAAATGCTAGAACAATTTATTTTAAACTTTTGTAAATATATAACATAAATTGGATGAGTAGTGAGGGGAAATAGTCCGCATTTTTGATAGAATACCCATAATGACTACACAATTGGTGCGGTGGCTTGGCAACTGGTTGCCGCACAACATATAGTAGGTTCGATTCCCGCATGGAGCAACTCTTTGTGTGATCCACAATTTGTTGTTTCTTACTTCACTTATTGTATGTTTGTGAACGCACCCACGATACAGGAGAAAATCCTAGTGTGGGGCAGGATTTTTTTTTAAATACCTGAATGCTGAACAAAAATGTTTTTTTCAAGCATCCTAAGACCTTTAGATTAGGCTGTGCATATTGTAAGGTAGCATCGAAGATTATGTTACAGTAAGCGGACAACATAGACTAAGTAAACATGCAATCTATTGTTGCAAGTTTAAAATTATAAACATCAACTTAATATTGCATGTTCACTAGACACCATCTATGCATTGTTGATTGTGTTGAAAACTCTTTAGTTGCACTATTCATAATTGAGACTTCACTAGAGGATTAAGCAGACATGTAAGTTTTCATACAAGTCAACTGTAATCTACTAATATACTGTAATCACAGAAAAATGTATAATAAAAATGTAGGAAAGGCAGCAGTCCTATCAAATGGTACTTCATAGAAGTCTCCCTACATAGTGATAGTAGCAGATAAAAACTCTTAGAAAAATGTATGACATGTGTTCCCATAGTGAAAATTATTCTGTTTATAAACAGACTATTACACAATAGGCTATTAGGAGTGGAGCCAACGAAAAAGCTTTGTATCTAAGCCATTTGAGGGCCGCATACAAATTATCGATTGTTTGGATAAACTTTGGCCAAATCTCATGTTTTTAAATTGTAGTTTTGCTAGTTTCGTGTTCTATTTAGTTGCTATGAAAATTTAATTTTCCACTTTATTATTTCCCTGGAAACTAGCATACGGAAATACAATTTAATAAGTGCTTTACCGCTTTCGTTCGTAATAATAACTTGTTAACTAGTGCGAGTTGGCAATCGAGACGCTTTAACAATAATTACACAGATCATGATTAATACGAAAAATGTATGTACTGCACCCTGCATCACAAATACATCACCTGTTTTCCAAGAAGTGGCTCGGAGCTAACAGGTGACGACGTTCCGTGTAAATTAAACAGGTACACTTGTTGCTTCACGAATATGCAGCAACTAGTTCCTACTTTACAACGAATTTTGAATGAGCATCGCGATGTACGGTGTGATGAATGTCAGATGCATAAGTAGGCATTCTTTCCAGTTTATCAATAATTTGCTTTGTAGATTAAATAGCCATCTTTATGTAACCTAGTTCGGAACGCCTACTAACACCATTATGAAGGCAGGTTTCAAAAGAAACCTCACGAAAAAGGCCATTACGCTGAATCAAACTAATCGCTAACTACGTTACAATTAGGTTTACTTTTCTTTAAGCCGATTAAAATCGATCAATTAACTCATTTTGGAAGACTAGAGTGACTTACTACAAAAACCTAATTTAAAGGTGTAGGAAACTTTGAAAAGAATATTATTATGGTGAACTACTGTTTTAAGTAATTTTTACACCATCGTTCATGACTGTTTCATCAAGGTGTGATTGATCGAGAAAACAAAATAGCTCAACATTGCACCAGTATGACGAAATGTCGTGAAATAATAGACAAGGCTACACATCCTTAACATAGGTTACCTACTTACTGCTCCCTGTTGTTTCAAATTAAGTAATTAAATGTCTAGGGCACTCCTGCCTTTTAATTTTATGATTAGCATACAAATTCTTTTTCGTGTAGTTACAAAGTGCAAAAACAAACTAATTTCTAGATCTCTTCTAGTCCGTAAAGTAAAACGAGGAGATTGTATACGCATTAATCTCTCTTGTCAAAATATCATTCAATAATGCCCAAAATTATCAGTCATAGATGTACGATCTGAATACAATTTATTAGTCGAAACGTACCTAATGTTAATAGTTTCACATGAACTTTTACAATTTCTGAACCGTCTTTTAAAGTTTACATTAAGTACTGCGTATTTACTATTTACCTACTTGTTTCTAACAAATATCGGCAATAGCTCGGCTCGCTTAACTTCACTTCATTATCAGATCCTTTCTATAGAAGTCGACCAATCGATACATTCTAATCTCCTGGGACGAAAATAGATATTTTGTGAACCTAGGCACTAAGCTAAAGTATTTGGTCGGACCTGCTCTTACATAGGACAAATTCCATTTATGCTGTCCGGGACTTCGTAAAAGGACCACACGTAAAATAAAAAAGTTATTAAAATACTACTTACTAACGAATTAATCGCTAAATAAACTGTTGTTAGAAAACACATGACATAACATCACGCCTTTTTATCCCCGAAGGGGTAGGCAGAGGTGCACATTTCGTCGCGGAGAACCTAACGGGTAACCGGGGCTCCGACTCGACGTGCAGGAGAAGGAACGGGGTGGTTTTTAGTCAGTAAGAGTCTGACACTCCCTCCCACCTCACCCAGGCGGGAGCAGCCATTCGATGATTTTCCCCCTTAAAAAAAAAAAAAGAGGTGCACATTTCGGCACTTATGCATTTATGCCACTGTACAAT